AAAAAAAAAAAAAAAAAAAAAAAAAAAAAAAAAAAAAAAAAAAAAAGCCTTAGAAAAGGCCCATTCATTTTACCTAAACACCCTTCACTGTCTTCTAAGTTGGTTACATTCCTCCTCCTCTTCCCTTATTGAGATGATATATAAGCTCTCAAATCTCACCATTATTTTGGGTATTCACTGTTTTTTCCTGTGATACCCCATACATGTAATACTAAAAATTAATCAATTTGTATATCTTTTCTCCTGTTAATTTGCTATTTCGCTAATTTCATAGACCCAGTTATTGAACTGAAGGAAAACAGAATATGCCACCCCAAAATATGTGATTTTGGGGTACAGATACTTTGCACTGAAGGCAATTGAGAAGATATAAGAAATGCCCCTCTCCTTATTAGCTTAAAAGCAAGACATAAATTTTCAAAGATCTCCCTCCACCCCTCTCTACCAGGAAGAAAAAAAGTTAATCACCCCAAAAGTTAGACACTATCAGCCTGAAGAAGGTATCAAAGGAATCTATACAACAAACTTTACTAATTGGCCTCTAGCTCATTCCTTGGAGGCCCCAAACAGATTTCCTGTGTCCTGTCCTTTCTCCACAAGTGTATTATTCTTTGTTGAAGATGCTATGTAATCTGGAATTCTAAGCCATCTCTGAGTTGCTCATTTTCCCGGGGTATCTCCCACATATACTTGGAGTAAACATGCTAATGAACTTGTTTGTTTTCCTCTTGGTCACCTATCTTTTGTTATAAGAGTCTCAGGAAAAACTCCAAAAGGTGGAGGGAAATTGTTTTCCCTCCCTTACAGAAGCTAAGAGGGTAGAGGAAGTCTTTCCTCCCCTACACCCTCTGTGTATGAAGATTAATGCTCAGGTTCAATCATAGCTGTTCTTTTTAGATGCACAAGTGTCTAACAAATACTAATCTGCATGTGATTTTCTTAAACACTAACTATTAGGAAGATCTGAAGAGTAGACCCTGTGAAGGAAACTAAAACCAAAACCAAATCAAACCAAACAGAAAGATACGTTGGAAGGGTATGTGAAAATCTAGCCCTCCCCACCCTCTTCGACACACACAGTCATAAACACACCCATGGTTTCAGGCGCATGTGTACACAGACACGTACATATTAAAAGAAGTAAGATTATTCCAGCGTGTAGCATGAGGTATCTCTGAAAAACTTCACTACAACAAATAGTAAATTTAAGAAAACATTTGATTTTAGAGTTTTATCTGCTTCAAAGTAGCAAATATTTCATTCTCAGATTCTTTATTCACAACTTTTTAAATACATAATCTCACTACAGGAGGAAAATAGCAGTCAATAGTGGGCAAAATACAAAAATGCTGGTAATGGGGTTCTGATTAAGTTACTTGCCTAACTGAAGAATAAGAAGAAACAAATTGTAATCATTCCTGTCATTTGTTACAACACCGAAAAATATTTTGCTAAAGTATCCAGAAATTATCCTAATGTGCTCATTTTCTTTCTTTTTTTTAAATATAGTTTATTGACAAATTGGTTTCCATACAACACCCAGTGCTCATCCCAACAAGTGCCCTCCTAAACGCCCATCACCCACCTTCCTCTCTCCCCCACCCCCCATCAACCCTCAGTTTGTTTTCAGTATCCAAGAGTCTCTTATGGTTTGCCTCCCTCCTTCTCTGTAACTTTTTTTCCTCCCCATGGTCTTCTGTAAAGTTTCTTAAGATCCACCTATGGGTGAAAACATATGGGATCTGTCTTTCTCTGACTTATTTCACTTAGCATAATACCTTCCAGTTCCATCCACGTTGCTGCAAATGGCCAGATTTCATTCTTTCATTGGTAATGTGCTCATTTTCTAGGGCTGCCATAACAAAGCACCACAACTGGGTGGCTTAAACAATTGACTGTCTGAGAGTTCTGGAGGATAGATGTCTGAAATCAGTGTCAGCAGGGTTGCTTACTTCTGAGAGCTGTGTGGTAGAATTAGTTCCATGCCTTTCTCTTAGTTTTGGTGGTTTGCTGGGAATCTGTGTCACTCCTTGATATGTAGATATGTCAGTCCAATCTTATCTTCACCTGGCGTTCTTTCTGCGTGCATATATTTTAGTGTCCAGGTTTTCCTCTTTTTTTACAAAGATGCAGTCATGTTCGATTAGGGCCCACCCTAGTGACTTCATCTTAACTTGATCATGTGCAAAGACCTTATTTCAAGAAAAGGTCACACTCATAGATATTGGCAGGCTGGAATGTCAATGTCTTTAGGTGGACGCAATTCAACCTGTAACACGTAGGGACTTTGACACCAATAGTAAAAGTGAATGTGTATGAACTGTGAGAAAATAAATAGGAAAAGAAACACAAACATACTAGTTAGATTATGGGGGCTTATGGGCCCCAATGACTCTCAAATTTCTTTATAAATATCTATTACTAATTCATTTGTAAAAAATATATGTAATTTATTTGTGATACAAAAACAGCATTTTATCAATTCTAAGACACACTTTTTTCACATTTTAAAATATCTTAATCATGATGCATATTAAAACTTGTGAATATGTGTAATTTTAATTGAAAACTTTTTCCCTTTATTAATGGTACTAAAAATGTCTTAAAATAGATAATATTGTAGATTCCATAATATATAACAATATTTTCTCTAATAGCATAAGCTGAACCTTGTCACCATTAAGTATAACTGTACCTACCCAGATCAGATTTGTATTCTTTCTTTGCCTAGCTTATTTTAATGACATTTAATACTTTAGGAAGGAGACATATTCTTTCTAAATAGATATGAAATTAGAAATCAATATGTTGTGTGCACATAATTTGATTACAAGTATCCTTCTATCAATCAGGTAAATATATGATCATTGACCATAACCAAAACCTCTAACTGCTTTAATTATGTCTTTTTTCTTTGGTCCTAGTCACCAGTCACCTTTCAAATTTTAATGCTATTAAATTAATTAAACTTCCCAATATTCAACCCCTTAGTTAATTGTCACTAGTAGCACTAGAATTGTCACCACAAATCAGCTTTATGTAAATTCTTCCTAAACGAGTTTGTAGATTGCTTATTTTTTTTACTTTTTTTTTTTAAGTTTATGTATTTATTTTGAGAGAGAGAGAGAGGGAGAGAGAGAACATGAGCAAGGCAGGGGCAGAGAAAGAGAGAGAGAGAGAGAGAGGGAGAGAGAATCCCAAGCAGGCTCTGTGCTGTCAGCACAGATCCTGACATGGGGCTTGAACTCACTAACCGTGATATCATCACCTGAGCCAAAACACAGTCAGACGCTTAACCCACTGAACCACCCAGGTGCCCCATGGGTTGCTTATTTTTAAGAACTGTATGCATCACTTGAATTATGTGCACCATGAAAGCTATATAAAAATGCAAAGACATGACCATTATTTGTGGCCATTTTTATGTAATTCTGTGTATTACAAACACATTTTATTTCCAAATTATCTTCCCCAAAATATTTAATCAGTCATTCAAGCATCTGACTCTTGATTTCGGTTCAGGTCATGATCCCAGGGTTGTAGGATCCAGCCCCATGTTGGGCTCCATGCTGGGCATGGAGCCTGCTTGAGATTCCTTCTCTCCCTCTCTTCTTCTCTCCCCCATTGTCTCTTTCTCTCAACAATTAATTTGACTTACAGTATTTCAAAATACTGCATTTTCCTCAGATAAATAACCTGTTGGTATTATATTAATCACAATCTGACCTATCTGCCATGTTTCAGTTACAAATAATATTGGTGAATATTATTTCCACAAGCACCATTCCTTTGAGAGAAAAGCTTACAATTTTCACTATATTCATCAGCATTAGTGTTCATTTACAAAGACATACATGTGTTTGTTTTATCTTGTTCTGGTAGATTAACATCATAGAAGGATTGACTTATGAAAAGGTTGGGTCATATTTAGTCAATACATTTCTCTTAGGAACACTTTATTCTTAGTTAAGTGAAGAACAAGAGGCCAAGGGCACTCTATTTTTTTGTTTATCTATGTTTGTTTTTGGAGGGTCTCACCATGGTTGACTAATGTTCCACTGTAGTCTCATTTTTATTTAGGGCTGAAATTTTAATTAGTCCTTTGAGTTTTAGCCAGTTGTCTTTTGGCAACTCAATGCACATGTCTCCAGTCACTCTCTTTGACACTTATGTCCTGATACTCTCCTTCCTAATTAATCCACTTACATAGCTTTAAATAATTAACTTACTACTGTGAGGCTGTATTTATAAAATATTTTGAAGTATCTTAAAATTTGTTTTTTCTATTGTTATTGTTACTATTTGCTATTAAACTTTGCTAAAAACAGGTCAAATGCATCATGCTTCATTAGCATTATTCAGTCAACTATTATTTCATGTAGTGCTGTATTGTTATGCTTATTTATATAATTTCCCTTCATGATAGTTATTAGTATATAAGGAAGGCATTTTTAAAGCACTTTACCAATAATATTACTACTATTAATAGCAGTCAATTTCAAAAATATTATTACAACCTTTAAGATAAGAAAACTGAGAATTGTAGCTTGTAATAGAGAATTTTTGTTTGCTAGAAGGTGCACAAGTACAAGAAGTTAGGTGTTAGCCTGTGGTCTAAAAAGTTGCTAGAGATTAATGATATGATTCATTTTCTAAGAAAAATAGAGGCTATTTAGTCAGTTTCTGAATGAAATGGTACAATAGCTAACATACCATTCTGTTGCTCACTGAGTGAGTCCTGTTCAAAAAGAATATTTGATTCTTATAAAGACATAATCAGTTGAGTTGGTCTCCAACCTGGGAGTAAATTAGTCAGTGAAAAGTCAGCTGAATGTCTACTATTAACAGCTTTACTGGAGATGCACCAGTCAGAAAC